CCCCTAACCCTAACCCTAACCCTAACCCTAACCCTAACCCTAACCCTAACCCTAACCCTAACCCTAACCCTAACCCTAACCCTAACCCTAACCCTAACCCTAACCCTAACCCTAACCCTAACCCTAACCCTAACCCTAACCCTAACCCTAACCCTAACCCTAACCCTAACCCTAACCCTAACCCTAACCCTAACCCTAACCCTAACCCTATATATGTTCCCGACCCCGCGTAATGAGTTGTTAATTCGCGACGCGTGGAAAGACTTCGAACGTCGCATTAGATGGCGTCTATTCTTTACGTTTTCTAATGAGGATAACTCTTTATTTGATCCAGATTACGAGGTGCCGAAGCAGAAATCCTCTGCCCCACCTCGTTTACCCGCTTATCTCGAACATGGACTCCAACGAGGTGAGCTCTTCGTTAACCAAACGATAGCCAAGATCCGTCGGTTACCGGCTGAGGCGCCAACGTATAAATCTCTCAAGCCCAGCCGAGACGACCTGTTCGAGTTCTTAACTAGTAACAATTACGTGATAACTGGTACCGATAAGAACCTTGGGATTGCGGTGTCCGAGAGAACCTGGATTGATGAGCGTTGCAAGGAGATTCTGGATGTGAGATCTGATTACCGTGAGATCCACATAATTCAACTAAACCAGATTTGTAACGAGCAATGTAGACAAATGGAGTTAATTGCGCAGCTCGCAACTGCAACCCACCCCAACGGCAAACAACTCGGTGAGTTCTTCCGGAGCAAAATCACCGAAAAGTGTTCCGACACTTCGGGTCGAGAATATGGAGATCACACTGTGCCCATCTTCTACGGTATCCCAAAAATTCACAAGGTGCCAACGAAGATGCGTCCGATCATTCCCTGTCACAGTGCCATTCAAAACCCTGCCGCTAAATTTGTCTCGAAAAATCTCAAATTCCTTATCAAGGAATCGCCGACCATTCTACATGGATCCAAAGATCTGGCGCAAAAATTGAGTAACGTCAAACTTAAACCCGGTCGCCGGTGGTTCTTTATCTCCGGCGATGTCGTTGCGTATTACCCGAATATCCCCCGAGAGGACTGTCTACGAGAAGTCTTCAAGATGTGGTCTGATGCTCGCTTCGGGCGCACTCTCGACGACAACGATGAGGGAACGGCTGAACACTACGAATTCAGTCTCATGTACAATGCCCTCATGACCGGGAATAAGAAACTCGTTTTCAGGTATGGTAGTAAGTATTACGAACAAATCCGCGGCCTTGCAATGGGCGTCGCGGACTCACCGGACCTCGCCAATCTCTGGGGCGTCCGATCCGAGATCTCGTGCGGAGTACTTACGAACCCGTTGATAGAATTCTACGGGAGATACATCGATGATTGCCTAGGCGTTGTTTATGCGCATTCGGAGGAGGAAGCCCTATCAATCGCCGAATCAATCAAAATCGAAGGCTGTACCATCGAATGGACTGCCAGCGAACAATACGTTCACTTCTTGGATATGACCGTGTATAGGGACTCGTATTCCCAACTACAATGGCAACCATTCCGGAAAGCTGGCAATCATCAGGAGAGAATTCCATGGATTTCCGCCCATCCCCTCGACGTGAAAAGAGGGACGTTCTTGGGCGAGATGTCGAGGTTAGCTACGTTGAGCTCGCAATATGACACGTATCGCGAGGCGTTGCACGGCTTGGCAGCCCTGTACACTAAACGCGGTTACCCTTCGGAACTTGTTAGCAAGTGGCTTAAGGATAATGCTTCCGACAAGTGGGAAAAACGATTAAGCGATCGTAACCACGATTCGACCGGCACGGATGGCGTGTTGGTACTTAAGTCCACCTTTAACACCGCATGGAACTATTTCTCCGCTCGTGAATTAGGAGATACCATACTCGGATATTGGAAAACTTACGCCGAGAAGGCTAAGAAAGATCAGCTCGGTGGCATACACTGGCAACAATTTTCCGATAACGTCGGGGACTTTACTGACGTGCCGGACGAGCTTATGTCTCTGTTCCGGACGACGAAGGGTCTTCGATACATGCCAGACGTTAGTAAAACAAACATCTGGCAACGCAAAGTATTGGTTTCACGGAAACGTACTCGCAATCTCTTTGACCTAACAAGTCTTTGGAAAAAGCAGGTACTCTCCAAGTTGGAAGAAGACATCCTCATGGACGTCGATTCCGATTCTGATCAGATGAGCGTTGATACCCCATCAGATCGATCGGACGGAATCGACCCAAACTTCTTTATCAACTATACTCTGGGTAGAACGTAATGCATACACGACTCAGGGGGCTTTGTTGACATCCCAGTGATCGGCTTGCACTACCGATTCCCAGGATATTCGGAGACGAGTACTAGTTACCGTTAGTGGTTCGGACTTCATTCGGCGGAGGCACTTCGGTGCGTTTGTCGGGGAACCCAGCTTTGCGGCGGTGTTCTAGGAAGAGTCCGTCTAAATCTTGGTGTCGGCCCGATCACAAGGGGCTCTGTCCCCCTGTTTGGGCAGCCTCCGCCCCCATTTAAAACTGAACACGAAATGCGTCAACGATATCCAGATATTAATTCACGAGTTCAATAAGCTTTAACCTATCCCGGTAGGTACTACGATTGTCTGTCGCTTACAGACGGTATTAACCATGGGTGTTTAGGAAGCCTATCTAACCCTAAACCTAACTCTAACCCTAACCGTACGTACCTTTCGAACTTAATCGTTCAAGCTGATTTGTCTAACCGATTCTCAATCTCTAGCTAACCCCAACCCTAACTCTAACCTAACCCGAACTCTAACAGGGAACATTCGGGAGAGCCCGATCACTTGCTTAGTCAGCAGGCGTATCGGTACGTTGGATGACTAAGCATAGAACGGTCTAGACCAAGTCACGTGACTTTGACGTCACATTGATCGGCGCCTTTTCGGCGCCCGGATGTGACATCGTGTGACCCATCAAGTCCGTAACTCACTACTAATAGAATTTGCGTAAGCGGCCCGAGCGTAACCCTCAACCCACGGGCGCTCTATTGGTAAGAATCAGCACAGCCGAGATAAGACAATAGCGAAAATCACATGGATAAGTCGTTATTGTTTAGCTTACCCCCTTTTAGAAAAGAAAGCACAGGTCCTGAAGAGACTTATAAGAAGTCGAAAGCGGACCAGGTTGTTTCGACAACCCGCTTGACCAGCTTTCGCCTTCGAAAAAAGTCTCGCTTCGCTCGACTTTTTTCTCCACCAACCCTAACCCTAACCCTAACCCTAACCCTAAGGGACGGAGCAAGTGGATTCGAGAGTGAGGGAACGAATATGAGATCGGGATTTGAAAAGCTTTAACATCTCGGCCATGGGCTGGTCCTAGGAAGTGCCAGGTAAGGGACAGGGGGGGGGGGGTAAGAAATATGCAGAACGCACCAAAAAAAGGATGATGTTTGCTCGGGTCAAGTTGAGACCAGTGGAGCCAACTTTCGAGAAGATGAGGACGCGGTAGTCGGGGTCGGTGTTGAACTTGGCGACGGTGGCCGAGCGCTGGTCGATTGGCGTGGCGCCATCGATAGAAAGTACTTTGATACCGTGAAGATGGAAGATCTTCGGTAGTGTGAGCGCGGAGGTACCCCAAACCTTAGGAGGCTAAAGACTCACGTTGCGCACAAGACCGGTAAATGAGGGAAACTCTTGGTATATGAGTACCTTCCTGTCGCGGGTGAACGTGGAGGTACTGGGAGAATCAGGATATACGACTTGGCCGTCGCGGAATTCGGGGATCGAAGCGTCATCTCGTGAGATAAGGTGCTGAACAATTTTGACGACGGTATCGATTTTGGTTGACTTGCGCTGCTCCCAGGACTCGAGGGTTTTGAATTCGGGAATAGGTTCGTTTGGGTCTTCGCGGGCGAAGGTGACGGTCTGGCGATGGGCGAGGTAGAAGCTGCTACATGTGATATTGCGACTGTTGGCGATGGATGCACTGGGAAAGGGGTGAGTACGAAGGGAGACAAACAAAGGAAAATGGGTGAGTAGCGCACCTCTCGAGACCGTGCTCTGTAACTTGCTCGATAAGTTCTTGCTCTCGCTCAGTTAACTTGACAAGGCCGTGGATGACCCGGAGTGGGGGAAGGGAGATGAGCGGGTTACCCTCGAAATCCACGCTGTCTGCAGCTCTCTTGATGAGAAGACCTTGGAATTTGGCTTGAAGGCGGGCTGAAATCGTGATTTGGAGGTTCCGAACAGGGTCGTCCTCGTCGCCTTCATCGAAATCTTCAGATCGGTCGAGTTTGGCCCGCCGGAGAGCATTGGAGTCTGCTCTTTCTTCTTCGTACGATGCCCTCTCGAAAAAGTAAGGGATTCCAACCATGCGCCCCATGGCGGAGATGTCCTAGAGAAGATGGTGGAAGTTAGCACACGCGAACAGAGGGCAACATCCAGCTAACCTTGGTCGACGTCTGCAGTGGGGTCGCTGTGAGGACTAAACGGACGTGGGCGTGCTCGAAGATTTGAAGGGCGGAAGAGTGCTTCTGCCCGGTGTTGCGAGCGCCTTGGGCTTCGTCGAATACGACCGAAAGGTACTGGCGGCCAAAAAGGGTGGCTCCCGCGTTCGCCGCGTATGTCGGTAGCTTGTCTGGGGTATCCCAGGGTAGTGATTTGGGAGGCCGGTTGCCCGAGTAAAGACTTCGGAATTCGCGCTGAACAGTCTAGTGAAGGATGTAAGGAACGGCAGCGGGGTGGGTGGGTGGTGGGCGTACCGTTTGAGAAGCAAGTATTATGCGATGGGCTGGGTGGTGCTTTGAGGATTGGAAGGGACCACCTGGACCCCAAAAACTCCCCGACTCAGAAGCGTTGCGGCCGTAAACAAGTATTTCGACGGACTTTGGGCGAAAGTAGCACTTCAATTCGTGCTCCCATTGTCCCAGAAGGGTCGGTAGACTAGGATGAGGTGAGGAAGGGCGGGGAGGGTGCC